AGTATAAAGCAACAGGTACAACAAGGCTATAGTAGCCGGGGTATAGAGAGCTAGATCTCACTCCCTCGTTAGTCACCGATAGGTAGGTACTAATAGGTAAACACAACTCCTCCATCAAGTCCCCCCGCCCCCCCCACCCCACACAGCTGCTGAGGCCCTCCCTGGGAATATGAGTGGCTGCCTGTTAACAGGCTCACTCTTTTACATGTCTGAAACCTTAATTGGTAAGAAAGGAAACTCTCGTAAAACATATCAAGTTCCAAGACTTAACAAGAGTATATTTAACTGGAGATGTGAGCCAATCCACTTACTGGATGACCAGAATTAGTTTGAATCCTTTACCGTCAGGGGTGAAAGATTACCAACTTGCTTGATCACGGACCTCTAACCATGTCCACAGACATGGTTTGAGTAGCTAACAGGTGGAATGCATTAGGCAGTGATGTGGTGGAGGCTGACTCCTTACACAGTTTCAAATGTAGATATGATAAGAGCCCAGTAGGCTCAGGAACCTGTACACCTGTTGATTGACAGTTGAGAGGCGGGACCAAAGAGCCAGAGCTCAACCCCCCAGCAAGCGGAACTAGATGAGTACAACTAGGTGAGTACAAAGGAAAGATGGAGATGTATATATGTTGGTTAACACATAAACTACAAGACAAAGAAAAACCTGCTTCATGCTAATTACCTTTTGTACTGGACGTTACATTAATTACATGAGAAGAAAGGGAACTAAAAATTATTACAAACTTCTAATAGACGTCAGATGTAGGCTGTAATCAGGTAACATAACAACTGCATCAACTCTTTGTCTTTGGCTGCAGCAGATTTCGTCTGAGATCTAATTAAAGTGGTCCACATTTCTTCCGACAAACATTCAAACAAAATATATCTTTACAAGAAATTCACTTGAATAAAGTCAATGAGCTTTATCTTCCAATAACTCAATGATCAACATATAGCACACTGATTACCTAGAAATAAATAGGGGGTCGCCATGACCTGGGGCCAGATTCACGAAAGCACTTAGGAACGTGTACATCTTTAGGGGGCCTCGTAGCCTTGTGGATAGCGCGCAGGACTCGTAATTCTGTGGCGCGGGTTCGATTCCCGCACGAGGCAGAAACAAATGGGCAAAGTTTCTTTCACCCTGAATGCCCCTGTTACCTAGCAGCAAATAGGTACCTGGGAGTTAGTCAGCTGCCACGGGCTGCTTCCTAGTGTGTGTGTGGTGTGGAAAAACAAAGTAGTTAGTAAACAGTTGATTGACAATTGAGAGGCGGGCCGAAAGAGCAAAGCTCAACCCCCGCAAACACAACTAGGTGAATATCTTTCCTCAATCTTTGACGGCTTTGGTTACATTTATTAAACAGTTTACAAGCATGAAAACTTCCCATTCAACTGTTGTTATTGTTATAAACAGCTTCCTGGTGCTTCGGAGCTCATTAACTGTTTAATAATTGGAAATAAAGCCGCCAAAGATTGAAAAAAGATGTACAGGTTCGTAAGTGCTTGCGTAAGTGCTTTCGTGAATCTGGCCCCTGGTTATCACTACCTCAGGGGCGAACCAGGGGAGGTTATCTTGAGGTTATCTTGAGATGATTTCGGGGCTTTTTAGTGTCCCCGCGGCCCGGTCCTCGACCAGGCCTCCACCCCCAGGAAGCAGTCCGTGACAGCTGACTAACACCCAGGTACCTATTTTACTGCTATGTAACAGGGGCATAAGGTGAAAGAAACTCTGCCCATTGTTTCTCGCCGGCGCCTGGGATCGAACCCAGGACCAACGGATCACAAGTCCCGCGTGCTGTCCTCTCGGCCGACCGGCTCCCAGTTCGAAAAGACTTGCTCGAACATATATATACTCGTATATATATATATATATATATATATATATATATATATATATATATATATATATATATATATATATATATATATATATATATATACGCCCCTATGTCAAAGGGGCGAAAACGCTGCCCGCTGATGCGCCCCCCCCCCTTAAATGACCCCTAAGATGCTCAACCTGAGGCACACTTATTAAGTGGGAGTTTTCAAGATGCAGCTGGTGAAGCGTGCTGGATGGAAGGAGAAATGGCAGCAGCATCCGCGGCCCAGATCTTAATCACACGGACGTAGCATCATCAGGAGAAAAAATCACCAATTTGCGAAATGATTTTTTTTTTACGTAATCTGCGGAAGGTGAAAGTGCGCGATCATGTCTTTACGTGGGAGGAGAAAAAGAGCAATTAGGAGAGAATTCTGAAGAGCTGTTGGAACCCAGTTGGATTGTGAAGGATTAATGGTGATAGTGAGAGAGATGATATAGTGGTGGGAACGGCGGTGGTGAGAGAAATAGTGGTATTGATCTTAAGCTGTGGACACCACGGGCTGTGGTGGGTATGTGGGCCTGCGGGCCGCTCCAAGCAACAGCCTAGTGGACCAAATCTCACAAGTCAAGCCTGGCCTCGGGCCGGGCTTGGGCAGTCGAAGAACTCCCAGAACCCCATCAACCAGGTATCAACCAGGTATCTGGACGGAGGCTGGCCTGCCTTGCTTACCTCACGGTGGTTACCTTACCTTAGGGTAGTTAAGGTAGTGCTAGCAAACAAGACCACATCTAGAGACACGCATCTTGAAAGGGCAAGTAATCAACCTCCCAGATAACTAACAACTATCATAAAGTTGTTAATAGAGCAACCACCACTCCTCAAGGTATCTACAGCCTTACGAAACCAGGAGCGTAAGAGTCTAATTACCTCTTGACAACCAATCCTCTGCTGACCTGAGACCTCGAACGACGGCTGTTGACCAGCAAGTCTAGCTACGTGCCACGACGCCAACTCTTCAGTGAAGACAACCACACAGTGGGATATTTACTCGGTTTACTCAACCAGGTGGGTGAGTGAGACACAAATCTGGGGATTAGTTGAGTAGGTTGTTATTACTTGAGGCAAATGGTCAGAACGTGACTCATCGCGTCTGAGGTATGACTCCCTGAGGAGGCATTGAGGAGATAATGCCAGAGAGAGAGAGAGAGAGAGAGAGAGAGAGAGAGAGAGAGAGAGAGACAGAGAGAGAGAGAGAGAGAGAGAGAGAGAGAGAGAGAGAGAGAGACAGACAGACAGACAGACAGACAGACAGACAGACAGACAGACAGACAGACAGAATACCCTACCACAGTTGATATTGGATGAGACAGTCTATGAACCATGAAAGAAATTGATCTCTTAATGGAAACTCCAGCTGATTACTTAGATTGCTCATATCTTCTTTACTAGTCTTTTTATTAGCTTACCTTAGTCAATTTTCTAAGAAAATCTTCTTCAATAAATCAATTTGATGTGATTTATCAAGATTTATAAATTAATGTAAAAAAATTATGCTTCGTTCATTTATTATTTATATAGAAAGCTGAAATGGAATATTAATTCGCAGTCAAAAATGTCACTCCTTCGTGTTTTTGAAAACTATAAATGGTAAAAGTTTAAATTATAAATAAATTAAAGTTAATTGTGCTGTTTTTATAAACTATATAAATGTAAAGTATAAACTATATAATTGTAAAGTATAAACTATATAAATATAAAGTATAAACTAAATAAATGTACTAAACAATATGGTGTAAACTTTAGAAACTTTTATAGTCTTTTTATAAAGTTTATAAATATAAAAATATTTATAAATACTTTTTATTATATTATATTTATTATGGCACGAGGTCTACCAACTGGTGTCAGGGGTCTACCAACTGGTGGCAGGGGTCTACCAACTGGTGGCAGGGGTCTATCAACTGGTGTCAGGGTCTACCAACTGGTGGCAGGGTCTACCAACTGGTGGCAGGGGTCTACCAACTGGTGGCAGGGGTCTATCAACTGGTGTCAGGGGTCTACCAACTGGTGTCAGGGGTCTACCAACTGGTGGCAGGGGTCTACCAACTGGTGGCAGGGTCTACCAACTGGTGGCAGGGTCTACCAACTGGTGTCAGGGTCTACCAACTGGTGTCAGAGGTCTACCAACTGGTGTCAGGGTCTACCAACTGGTGTCAGGGGTCTACCAACTGGTGTCAGGGTCTACCAACTGGTGTCAGGGGTCTACCAACTGGTGTCAGGGTCTACCAACTGGTGTCAGAGGTCTACCAACTGGTGGCAGGGGTCTACCAACTGGTGGCAGGGTCTACCAACTGGTGTCAGGGTCTACCAACTGGTGTCAGAGGTCTACCAACTAGTGTCAGGGTCTACCAACTGGTGTCAGGGTCTACCAACTGGTGTCAGGGTCTACCAACTGGTGTCAGGGGTCTACCAACTGGTGGCAGGGGTCTACCAACTAGTGTGTCAGGGGTCTACCAACTGGTGTCAGGGTCTACCAACTGGTGTCAGAGGTCTACCAACTAGTGTGTCAGGGGTCTACCAACTGGTGTCAGGGTCTACCAACTGGTGTCAGGGTCTACCAACTGGTGTCAGGGTCTACCAACTGGTGTCAGGGTCTACCAACTGGTGTCAGGGGTCTACCAACTGGTGTCAGGGTCTACCAACTGGTGTCAGGGGTCTACCAACTGGTGGCAGGGGTCTACCAACTGGTGTCAGGGTCTACCAACTGGTGTCAGAGGTCTACCAACTAGTGTGTCAGGGGTCTACCAACTGGTGTCAGGGTCTACCAACTGGTGTCAGGGGTCTACCAACTGGTGTCAGGGTCTACCAACTGGTGTCAGGGGTCTACCAACTGGTGTCAAGGGTCTACCAACTGGTGGCAGGGGTCTACCAACTGGTGTCAGGGTCTACCAACTGGTGTCAGAGGTCTACCAACTAGTGTGTCAGGGGTCTACCAACTGGTGTCAGGGTCTACCAACTGGTGTCAGGGTCTACCAACTGGTGTCAGGGGTTTACCAACTGGTGTCAGGGTCTACCAACTGGTGTCAGGGGTCTACCAACTGGTGTCAGGGTCTACCAACTGGTGGCAGGGGTCTACCAACTGGTGTCAGGGTCTGCCAAATGGTGTCAGGGTCTACCAACTGGTGTCAGAGGTCTACCAACTGGTGGCAGGGGTCTACCAACTGGTGTCAGGGTCTACCAACTGGTGTCAGGGTCTACCAACTGGTGTCAGGGTCTACCAACTAGTGTGTCAGGGGTCTATCAACTGGTATCCGGGTCTACCAACTGGTGTCAGGGGTCTACCAACTGGTGTCAGGGTTTACCAACTGGTGGCAGGGGTCTACCAACTGGTGTCAGGGTCTACCAACTGGTGTCAGGGTCTACTAACTAGTGTGTCAGGGGTCTACCAACTGGTGTCTAGGGTCTACCAACTGGTGTCAGGGTCTACCAACTGGTGTCAGGGTCTACCAACTGGTGTCAAGGGTCTACCAACTGGTATCAGGGTCTACCAACTGGTGTCAGGGTCTACCAACTGGTGTCAGGGTCTACCAACTGGTGTCAGGGTCTACCAACTGGTGTCAGGGTCTACCAACTGGTGTCAAGGGTCTACCAACTGGTATCAGGGTCTACCAACTGGTGTCAGGGTCTACCAACTGGTGTCAGGGTCTACCAACTAGTGTGTCAGGGGTCTACCAACTGGTGTCAGGGTCTACCAACTGGTGTCTAGGGTCTACCAACTGGTGTCAGGGTCTACCAGCTGGTGTCAGAGGTCTACCAACTGGTGGCAGGGGTCTACCAACTGGTGTCAGGGGTCTACCAACTGGTGGCAGAGGTCTACCAACTGGTGGCAGGGTCTACCAACTGGTGGCAGGGTCTACCAACTGGTGGCAGGGTCTACCAACTGGTATCAGGGTCTACCAACTGGTGTCAGGGGTCTACCAACTGTTGGGAGAGTACTAACATTTAGTAACTGAACAACCCTCATCCTGTTCCCCAAATACACTTTAAAAAACCTACCTAAATACCTCTGATAACAGGACATATATCTCTCTCTCTCTCTCTCTTTCTCTCTCTCATGACATTTATTTTCCTCTCTCTTTGGCTGTCTCACTTTCCTTAAAGGAAACCCAAAAAATATGTTGAAGATATTTTTTTGGCTCGTTGTCAATCTCTAGAGTTTAGAATCTTTCTCGATGGACCAGAGGCTGTGTCCCCCTCCTAAAAATAAAATTTTTTGGTGAGAGAGAGAGAGAGAGAGAGAGAGAGAGAGAGAGAGAGAGAGAGAGAGAGAGAGAGAGAGAGAGAGAGAGAGAGAGAGAGAGAGAGACGAAAGGTAAAAAAAAAACTCTTTTGAAAAAGAAGGGTTTTTGTATTTTCAAACCAGAATTGCCTCTGAGAAGGAATTGCCTATATTGATGTATTTTGTTGGCCTTACGGTGGGAGGTCGTTAAACCATTTTTTTTTACTTTATTTCGGAAGGAATGTTTCCTTGGGGTTAGAAGGTGTGAGATTATCACAGTTCCGGAACCACCTGCAGTGAAATCATTTCAGTTTCATACTCCTCCAGCTCACGAACTGACTCCTATTTCATATGTCCAGAGCTTATTGTGTTCTCACTATACCCGCCCTCACCATACTCACGATACCCCAACCCCCCTACAGCACCATGGAGCGTGACCACCATACACACACGTGTCCACCACTCGTCAAAACAGTCATGACACGTGACATGAATGCCAGAGAGAAAGGTAAACAATTACACTGTTGCCACATTTCTACAATTAGTATTATGGGGGAAAATCCACAGTAGCCTATGGTGTTTATTCCCATTATTATTATTATTATTATTATTATTATTATCATTATCGTCATCATTTTACTGTTACGGTGAAATAATAATAATTGTTTTTTATTTGTATATAAATTTATGATAGTGTAATATATTTATATTATTTATATTTTTATTAATACATTTTTCAGATCTTTCATATTCACGTGTAATTTGCTCGATTTGTTCTAAATATTTATGCTGGAAGTTTCTTTGTGATGGATGATATTAAAATATTGTATTTCACCAGAGAGAGAGAGAGAGAGAGAGAGAGAGAGAGAGAGAGAGAGAGAGAGAGAGAGAGAGAGAGAGAGAGAGAGAGAGAGAGAGAAAGAGAGAGAGAGAGAAAGAGAGAGAGAAAGAGAGATTTATGTGAACTGTCTCCTACTACCTAGTTACAGAGACAGGTAATTATTTAACTATATTTTATACTCCCATCTATTTCCCCCCCCCCTTTAACTCTCCAAAATATTTTCACTGTTTATCTTCAAAATGTTTGGTTTATCTACAATTTTCCTGCCGATGAATTGTCCTGTTGAACAATCAACATACCAGGAACATACCTGGGGAGGGTTTCGGGAGTTCTACTCCCTGAGCCTGGCCTGGGACTAGGCTCGACTTGTAATTACCTAGTTCAATAGGCTGTTGCATCCCCCCACTTGTTACAAAGCGTTTGACCTAGCAGTAAATAGGTACCTGGGAGTTAGACAGCTGCTATGGAGCTCCTTCCTGGGGATGTGTGTGTGTAAGAGAGAAATATTTGTAGTATATATAATAGAGGAAAAATAGATTGGTTAGAAAGGCGAGGGTCCAAGAGCTAATAGTTCGATTCTGCAGACACAAACAAATTGTAAACACACACACACACACACACACACACACACACACACACACACACACACACACACACACACACACACACACACACACACACACACACATATATATATATATATATATATATATATATATATATATACACATACACACACACAGGGTAGCTGGTGGCTGCGTGGACAGCACGCTGGACACGTAATCCTGAGGACCGGAGTTCGATTCCCGGCGCCGGCGTCAAACAAAAATGGGCAGTTTCTTTCACCCTGATGCCCGTGTTATCAAGCAGTAAATATGTACCTGGGAGCTACCTGAGACAGCTGTTACGGGCTGCTTCCTGTGTGTGTGTGGTTGGTAATTAGTAGTTAGTAACAATTGATTGATTGACAGTTGAGAGGCGGGCCGAAAGAGCAGAGCTCAACCCCCCGCAATCACAACTAGGTGAATACCCACCCACACACACACACACACACACACACACACACACACACACACACACACACACACACACACACACACACACACACACACACACACACACACTTTCATATCCTTTCATATTCGACTCACAGTCTGGTCAGAGGAAAATCCCGGATCCGTGTGAAGTGTTTTGTATAGATACAGGAGAGAAGGTGTAGAATTTCCCGAGCCGGGGCAGGACAAATTTCACTTCGGAATACTGGCTGTGTACCTTCCTAGTTGTACTTGCGGGGGTTGAGCTCTGGCTCTTTGGTCCCGCCTCTCAACTGTCAATCAACTGGTGTAAA